TCTGACAGAGATTTGGCATTGTTTTTAGTTGCATCTGCAAAGCACTAATATATGTGCATATATGATGAGAGCACTTCAGTGAGTAGTTTAAGAGGAGTGCAGTTGGGGCAGCTGCAGCTTCTGCCTCCTTAATGCACGCGTGCACGCACTCCTTTATGCTCCTTATCTGACAGCCTCGCCTCAGTGGAACCTTGTGGCTTTATATCCTGTAGTGCTTCAAATACAAAGTACCGGAACTTTCCCTTTACTAGCATGACAGTTTCAACTAACAATGTTGTCAAAGCATTAAAATACAAGGTCCCTCTGTCTCTGTATCTGTCTCTCTCTCTCTCAAGTCATTAGATCATTTTTCAGGTCTTCTTTATACCCTCAGCATAAGACGATGTTGGAAAGTCATTTTACTGCAGCTTTCACACTGAGAAAGGATTACTGTATTAATATATTTCACAATAAGAGTTCATTAAAACCTCATTGGAAGCTATCACTAAAACCTTCAGCAAATGAGTCATGTATTAGTGGTTATTGTATAAGCAGCTGAAAATTGTAGTAATTCAAGTAAACTAAATACGTATAATGTACAACAAAGTAGCCTACATGGTGTTACAAATCTTCAATCAGTATAAACTGCTGCAAATGAGGGGCTAAAATGACTTTTAGTATCCACTTCATATCCTCACAGTGTCTCCAATTAGAGAAGATAGTTATGATGGACCTGCAGCTGCTGTTAACTATTACAATATTAGCCAGACAGTACAACTATTAAAGAATTCTTTTCTTTCCGATATAAGAAGTATGGACGTCCTGATCCAGTTTTTTGGCTCCAGTACGGATTCTACTCCAATGCTTACATTTACCTACAGTAAATGTTCATTAATATCTGACACATTGAAATTAACCAGGGACATGGTATTTTTCAGGAGCTCTTTGATAGAAATACCTGAATCAGGTCCTGCTTCCAAAATATTAAGCTTATTGGCTTAAATTGTTGATATAAATAAAAGAATAATTGGGATATGATAACACAAACTCAGAGCTATAGATTCATTATAAGGCAGATACTAACTACTGCTTCGTATCCATATGTGAACACATACTTTGAGTGACCAGTCCAGTTTAGATATCTTTGTTTGACCACATAATAATACTACATTACTCATAGCCTAATACCTAACCCCAATGTGCAGAGCGTAAAATCTTGTGTGCACATTGTGGGAGCCTTGCGATTGTGTGTGTACTGGGCTCGTGTTCACTTGTTCATAGGAAGCAGTTGGTGAAAGATACACAGAGGCAGCTACGGAAACACTTTGGAGAAGGGAAAACTATGGTACCTAATTTCAACAGGTAATAGACAATGAGGAAATGACTGGCTACACTTGAATGTATATATACTGTAGTCTATATCCAACCCATGTTGAAACACAGGACTGAAATGGATCATGTAGCAGCTTACCAGTTGCGTGACACATGCGCCTCAAAAATGCAGCTGAGTTCACTAAACTACAGGACCGTAGTTCTAAATAAGGATCCGAATTAGAACAGCTTTATTCTGGCCGGTACTGATCCTGCAAAATATGCTCGGATTGGCACGATACTTAGTATCAGATTGCAACAGCTCTAATAAGTAGTAGTCTGTCAAATGAATTAATACTCCTGGGGCATCCAATACCTGAATGGTTATGGTGCAGTGCACCATATAGTCAAGCCAAGATTTTTATTTGCCATTTATGCATAAACAGACAGTCTAGGCATATAGGGATTCTTGTGCAGCTCTGCTTTGGAGTCAGGTAAGGAGTCAAAAGCCAGAAAGAACACTGTCTTAAAGTAAAAGGCAACAAAGTATTAAAAACCACAATACACAAAAATAGGGTAATAGTATTTTCCCAGTGAATTTCAAACATCGCATTTAGTGATTCACATGGTGGAGTTGGATATGTCATTATGCTTGGTGAAGTAGTGAGGGGTTATAACATACTAAAACACAGTTTATATTCAGGCCTGTTTCCATTGCTTGGTGGAGAATGTCCTGCTATTATTCAGGCCCCACAAGAGAACACTGTTGATGAGATGCTCGTACAAAAATACCTTGTGGAACATTTCTGTATTATTATAGCACATGTCTACGAAGGGGTTATTGTACATATATTCTCACATTTTTGTATTTGCCTTCAGTCTTACTGATGACAAATACAGGGAAAAAGCTGTTGTAAAGTCTGGTTCTGTGTGTGATGATACTGTCTGCTCGCTTGCATTTACCTTACTAGATACAGTGGCAGCATGCAAAGGTTTTGTTTTTATACTTTTAATAGATTTACATAATGAGTAGATTGTGAAATACTAGCAGTCACTGGTTGTGTAGGTGGCAAATGGGTAACCTTTTTGATAAGTTCTGTTTTGTTTGCCTGATACAAAGTAAGAAGGCACTTTTCATGATATTGTACATATAGTTTGTAATATGTACAGTACAGCAGATGGCCAGTTTTTTTTCCTTTGGATATTGGACATCATGTAGAGTGGAATGTGGAGTTTAGTTTGTCCTCAAATACTATTAAATATCTAAAATAGCTTTGCATCTGAAGGTAATATAAAAGTACTATGGTGTCTGATGTTGTGTTGTTGCGTTTGGTGTTGTGATAGACCAGATTGAATAATATGATACTATAAAACATGATATTACAGTCAAGTGTAATTACAAACAAAACAGAACATCACATAAACCTCACAATAACAAGGTACAGGAGCAAGCAAATGCTATAGTCTGAACTAGTACTAAACACCTGCCCAAATAAATACTTTTTAAAAAGTGACCTAAAAACAGCCAGACTGGGGGCAGACCTAATGTCTGGTGAGAGCCTGTTTCACAGTCTTGGAGTCACCACCGCAAAAGCCCGATCCCCACCATGCTTAAGTCTGGACCTAGGTACATCCAGAAGAAGCTGACTGGCCGATCTTAGAGATCTTCCTGGTGTGTGAATGTGCAGGAGCTTTGAGATGTACTGTACAAGGGTTCCAAACCATGACGTGCTTTGAAAAATAATAGCTGCTTGAAAATAATCCCGTAATGAACAAGAATCCAATAGGGTGAGGCCAAAACAGGGGTTATATACTCACATTTATGGGTATTCATCAAAAGACAAGCAGCTGCATTCTGGACCAACTAAAGAAGGGACAGGGGCGCTTGAGAGAGCCCAACATACACAGTGTTATAATAGTTGAGTCTAGAACAAATGAAGACATGGATTGATGTGAAAGAACTTTAGTGCTAACCCACAGAAGATGAGTCATACTCAATATGCACAGAAGAACTCCTATTAGACAAGATGATTCAAATGGTTTAAGGGCAGTACCTTGGATTCTAGTGTACTGTTCAAGATGAGATAACAAAGGGTGTGAAAACCACTGAAAGATCTAACTATCAGAGAGGCGTTGCCCTCATCAACAACCAGTAGAAGATCATTAAAAACTTATAACATTGCTGATTCTGTGCTATGGTGAGACTTGAATCCAGACTGAAAATTTTCAAATATACCATTTGCCTCAAGAAAAGATTGTAGTTGCATAAAGACAATCTTCTCCAGTACTTTGGATAGAAATAGTAGTTTAGAAACTGGCCTGAAATGTCACACACTTGTTCATACAACTCTGACCTTTAAAACATTTCAAAATGGACAAACATCATTGCAGACAGTGGTGTTGTTTGGCTCAGAAATAAATTCTGATGATTCATCTGTGATGCAACACCTTGAACACTCCATAAAATAACCCTTTGAACTGTGCGCACACACAAATATAAATGCACACCAAGAGAGCTGAGCGTGTGCTGTAAGTGTGGGTGACTGTGGTCTCTTCCTCATTCTGTCTTCTATCTGTTTTGTGTATCAGTGCTTTGTGTATTTGACAAGCAGAGGCATTAAACATTCACTCGTTCTTTTTTACTCTTTCACACTGTGTGACCTAATGCATACAACAAAGCTGAGCCTTTTTCTTGTAAGCTGTTGGTCAGCATGTGTACAGTATGGCATTGGGTGTGCATGGATATGGCTTTTTAATTTTCTCCAAAGTGACCTCCAGCTGTGCTGTGTGTATTTATATCACTGCACTTCTGTTTCTGTTTTGCATTTCTCTAATGTATTTATAGGAATTAGTCAGAAAAGAGATCACATTTGATATTACAGATCGGTCACAAAATATGCATTTCACAAATGGAAAAAATCTGTTGCAGCTTTTCCCTGTTACTGTTATTCAAGCAGCGTAGCTAGATCTGTACCTGCTTTCTCTATTTTGCTTAATGTCTAAGTCAGTTTTTCTCTTGGTCTGAAAATACCTAGTTTTAATACCTTATAATAAAGTTTTACCTGATATGTGACGTCAGTTATAAATGTTTCTGTTGTTTAGGTAAATATTTGGACTGTTACTATACAAGAATTACAGTTTGCCTTAGGGCAGTAGGCCAGAAGACCACTGGGCTGATCCTTGCTTTTACAATATTAATCTGGGCGGGGAAAAGGAAAGTGTATGATTTAGCTCATTTAGCACCACTGAGGTTGTTCTAGAGCAAGATCCTGAATCCCCAACTGCTCCAGCGGAGCCAGTAGTCATCGGATCAGACTGTGGTTGTACTGTGTAGCAGTGTGTGAACAGATCATTCTCACACAAGAGAGCCTTGCTCTTAGTAAAAACTTCGTTTTGTTGAAATTAAATGAAATTAATAGCCAGGAGAAAGAAATCACAGCTTTCATGCACAGAAAGCCAGTGTTTATGGTTAGGGCTAAAAGAGAACCGAAAAGGTCAGAATACATACATCTGCTGAGACTCAGAGGAACTGGAGTGTGTCTCAATGATTTCAACAATGTACAATTTTTGTTTGCCACTTGAAAAAGTAGAAATAGCATGAGTGCAGCGGTGGGACACCATTTAGTTGTTGCAGTGTGGACTAATTTGAACAAGTCTGTGTTGTAGAGTGTATGATGCTGATCCTTTGGTATCCTGTGTGTGCCTTTCAGGATGAGGTGGACAGTCAGAACCCAGTGTTAAGAGACAACCCACAGCTCCATGAGGAAGTGAAGGGCTGGCTCAAAGACCAGAAGGTGCAGGAAATTTTCATGCAAGGTAAGCTTTTTATTATTCCCTCTTTATTAGCAAGTATAACTCTGTTGAGTGTATCATTGTTACAATGTATAGTATAACAGTATTTTTTACTTGAGTTTTTCTGGATGATTGTATTTTCATCAAGCCATCAGTCATCTCACTACTGTAACTAATGTGTCTTGCAGTATACACTAAGGAACGTGCAGTAAAGTCTTATACTTAAGCAGTGGGAGCCATAACACTGTGATGGAACTGTTTACTGTTACTTCCAGGTCCTTATTCATTGAATGGCTACCGTGTGCGTGTGTACAGACAAGATTCGGCCACCCAGTGGTTCACTGGCATCATTACACACCATGACCTCTTCAGTCGAAACATGGTCGTTATGAATGACCAGGTACCCACACACACACACACACACACACACACACACACAAAGGGGAAATGACATAGTGGATACAAAAAAGAGGAATTAGTTACTACTTGAGACTATGAGTAGAGTTTGATTGATATCATCATGTACTCAAGCTAAACAGAACAATTAAGATGGATTTTTATATTTTCTGAACCTTCTGAGATATACACTTTCACCTTGTTTGATATGTATGGCACAGGTGGTGGTGTTGTCTGTTGCAAAGGTGGCAGTAGAGGCATTGTTTACCTGTTTGTACCAGATGATAACAGTAACACAGCTGCTGTCAAACTTTGTCTTCCCTGATCACTGGTGATTATTGGAGCTACTTGTGCTCTTCACTCTAGTACAGTAGATTGCTCAGAGGCTGGATTCAGTCACTTGTTCGCTAAAGTAGTGTTAACTGTCTGGGTTTAGTTTGAGACGAGGAGCTGAAACATAGAATAACAATGAATGATATTTCTGTACTGAACACCTTTACATAATTGACAGCTGGTATTAAGCCTGTATTCAATATACCAATGATCATAAACAACATTAATAGTAACTTAAAGTATTACATACCCATTCACAACCTTTGAATTTTATGCTAATGTTAGCTTACAGCTTTCGAAATCATAATCTGCCTACCTGCATACCTGCAAGGGCCCCAGGCCGCTGCGTGCATACGTGCCACCATCATGGGCAACTGGGGGGGGGGGGGGGCGG